TGTGGTTAGGGGACTGAGACAGTACAGAGAGATGGAGCATCATCTTGGTGCCTCCTGAGAAGGGGAGAGTGTCCTCCCTGTGCCACCCTGTTCCTGGGTGGATGAGGCTCTGCATGCACCTGTGCAGCTCAAATCCCTCTGCAAAACATTGCTGAAACGGTGGGTAACCTCCATCTGCCTCCAGTTTTGCCTGTTGCTATAAGTCAAAGCACAGAGGAGGTCATCCCGCGTGGCCCTGGGTTGCATGGCCTGCACATGCTGCCGGGTGACTTTTGCTGTGGGGAATTTGTCACAACGAGGGAGCTTGTCGGAGCCCTTCTGAATGGAAATGGGGTCTTATTCAGCTCTGCTAATAAGAGGGTAAATGCAGCTAAATACAGCTGTTGTCCTCCCTGTCATTTGGTATTTATTAGCAAATATGCAGTAGAATTGAATCCCTTGTAAGTGCTCTGCAGCTAATGGTAGATGGCAATTAACTGAAATGAGCACTGCCGAGCGCTGGGGCTGCCATCAGCTGGGAGAGGAGGTTTGGAGCCAGCGGCTTCCAGAGCCCCCTGTAATTTTCCCCTCTTTCTTCTCCATTTCATGCCCTTGTCAAAAGACTAAAGGGAAAATCACTTTTTTTATCATCCCATCTCCTGTGCTTCAGAAGATGTGAAAGAAACAGATCCAGGCAGCTGGAAGGGATTTTGGAGCTAGGAAGGATGGGGTGCAGCACCCCTTGTTCCATGTTTGAGTCAGGCTGATGCATCTTGGCTCGTTTTCTGCCTCCCCCGCCAGTCTTGGTTGACTCTTTTCCTTATTGCCCTTGTGCTCGAGGGTCCTGGTTGTCCCGTAGGCAATTCCCGCATCCCAGCAAAGGGACCATGAATCCTCAACGGGCTCTGCTGATGGGACACTAGTGGCTCCGATTCATTGGCTTTTCTCTGCCCTGCGCAAGGGCTGGGGAAGGGAATCACTAAGGGGGTGTAATTCTCCTTCCTAGCCTGATTATTTTCTTTAAGGATGTGCTGCTGATGGTTATTTTTTTAAATCATGTTTAATTAGGTAAGCTAGTGAATATACATTTATGCTGAGTACCTGGTAAATTTGATCTCTTTTTTGATTGGAAGAGTGCTTCACTGCCTCTGTTGCCAGTGCTCTGAAATCGCATTTATTTTCATATAAGATTTGTTCAGATTGCAAGCATGATGCTAAAATCTCTTGCATCATTAATTCACATTAATAGAAACAAATTTTAGACCAAGGCTCTCTACTGTCACTTTTCCCTCCTGATTGTATGACTCTACCCATCTAACAGTTCATTTATTTTATTCTTCACTCAGACCTGACACAGCTCAGGTTTGGAATGGGTTTTGCAATGGAGCCCCAGGTTAGAAGCAAATAACTTTTAAATGCGATTTTTGGAAAGGAGCTTGGGCCCTGCGATGGGGATGCAACTTCATCCATCCCTGCGGCTGCACGTGCTGCTGCAGCCCCCGGGCTTCAGGCCAGGGCTTGAGATCTTGCCCAGAAGCTCCTGGCTTGAAGACACCGGCGCTGCTGTGCCCTGGGCTGGCAGGGGGTGACAAAGGTGGCCACGTCCCTCCCTGGTTTTCCGCCTGGTGCATTCGGGCGGGAGCTGGGATGGGGTCCAGGAGATCCTGTGGTCGTTCCAGGCTCCCGAACGCGCGCCGTGAGCCGTGCTCCCCTCTGGATAGCAGCACTCGTCGCTCATCAGAGCGCGGCTGTGGCAGCGGAGCTGGCAGTGGTTGTTAATGGCATCGGTGACACCTCGAGCTGCTCGCTGGGTTTCTCTCTTGGCAGCATCGCAGCCCTCCTGGGAGCCTGATTGCCTTCTGCCTCCTGCTGTGTTGCCTGAAAACACTTGCTGTGACGGAGCCCTTGCGCTTGGCCCGTGTCTGCTGTAAACGGATGGGGTTTTTTGCTCTTCAATCTTGCAGGCACCTTGCGAGGCAGGTGGGAAGCAGCGTGCGTGATTCCTCATCACTGGTTGTTATCTGACTGCAGGGAATGACCCTGAGACACCCTGTTAAAGGCAATAGCTGCTCTTCCTGTTTCTCCCTGTCCTTTCTGCCTTGGGCTTGGTTATCCTTTAAGGGCAGCTGTGGAGGAAGGAGGGAGCTGGCAGCCAGAGCCGCTTGCAGGGGCCGCTTGGGCTTTCCAGGTCGAGGAAGGGACTTCTCGGTCCCTGTTGCGGTACAGTGGGTGGTTGTCCCTGTGGTGCCTCGCGGGAGCATCGGGAAGCAGCATTCCCACTGGCGGGATCCCAGCTGCCATGGGGATGGGCACCAAGCCGTGTGCAGGTTGCTGTGCTCGCGTGTGGCCGAACGCTGGGTTATACTTGGCCTCCTGCTGCTTTGAATGAACCTGCTCTTTTTGGTGCTGCTTCTCAAGGAGCGATGCGCTTGGTCCCCTTCCCTGTGCAAGGTCACGTATGGGGGGAGTGTCCCCCGTTATCCCAGGTTGAGATGCCCACGGCTCAGCGGGAGCATCGCCCTAGCAGATGGAGTAAGAGCTGCAGAGCCCAGTGGTTGGTATAGACACAGCGATGCCCTCGATGCCTTCACAACACCAGCTCCTACCTGTGCACTTAGAGAGTGGTCTGTGAAATTGTCCCCAACGGTCCTTGACCCCATGGCTTGCTGCTGCCCTTGGGCTTGGGTTTGTGTCCAGATGACGTGTGATCCGCAGGAAAAGAGGCAGAGGCTGCGATCCCTGGGAGGAGCCGGGCTCTAGCTTGAGTCTCTCAAGGCTGGTTGAGATGTAGGTGTACCTGTGTCACGCTATATATATGTGTATATATATATGTTTTCCTAGGTGTTATCCTCAGCTCTTGTCCCTTCCCGTGGCAGCCAAGGCTCAGCTGGGGGTGATGCAGAGAAAAAGCCACCTCTGCCCTTCCCCTGTCCACCAAGGTCCCAAACCGAGCGGTGACGCTAATGAGAGGAGTCAGATGTGCTGCAGAGCAGCCTGCTCAAGGACGAGCAGATTTTAATTAAGGGCTGTGTGTGAGGGTCATGTCATGGCGCTGGGCCTGGAGAGTTACTATGGGAACACCAGGAAAGCGCCCGGAGCCCACGCATGGCTCTGTGCGAGTCCCAAGGCACAATTTCACAATTTCTTATGTTTTCGGTGGCAAATAGAGCCTGAGCAAGATGCTACTCTGGGCATTTATAGCTTGGACTGTGCTGCTGTGGGGCTGTGTGTACAGAGGGGAAGGGATCTGAGTCTTAAATTGCAGAGCAAGTTTGATCTGATGGAGGGGAAGCGGTCTGGGTCTTAAATTGCAGAGCAAGTTTGATCTGTTCTTGACTACGATGCTGTGAGTTAGGGAAACTGGTCCCCAGCTCTGTTTTGGGATGTTTGCACTGGTTTCAGCTCAGTCCTGAAGGCACCCAGGATGTTGGGAAGTGCTTTGTGTAGAAATCTGGCCTGGACTCTGCCCTTTACAGGTTTTCTCGCTGCATTCACCTTCATGGACCCCCCATCGCTCCAGTGCTCGTGGCTCCTCCCCAGGTTCAACTACTGTAAGTCCATCTCCACTAAGCACCTTGAGTTGCATCTTGCTGATTTGTGCATCAGATCTCGAGCCTGCAAACGTGCATTGCAGCTGATGGGAGGTTGGTGCCTCCTGAAGTGCAGGAATGGGCCCTCCCGATGCTTCATGCTCCAGCATGAGCTCATTCCTGCCAGTTTTTGTGTGGCCTGGCAGCAGCCTCAGTAGAGAGGAGCTAAATGTTTTTAGTAATAATAGGCTTGGCGTTTTCTTCTTACCCCTTTTACCCAGGGACTCATGTTGCACTGGCATTCCGAGCAGCTTTCTTGCCCAAGTAAAATAGCCCCTCGAATGTGGGCTCTGCAGCGAGCTTGAAACCAGATCTTTGTGTGGGAGTCCGAGGTGGGAGCTCCAATGAGCTGTTTCTCAATCCCTCCCTCCTTGTTATTCCGCGGTTCTGGGGCCAAACGTGCAGCGAGGCGGGAGCAGCCCCGGGGGCGCTGGCAGGAAGAGGGAATGGGAGCATCCCGAGGCCTTCCAGCTGCAGCTCAGGGACTGTCCCGTGCCTGAGACCTGGACAGAGCAGTTGGTGGCAGTTGTGCAGCAGGGACATTGGGCAAGCTGCTTCTCCAGCCACGAACCCTTCTCCTGCTTCCTGCTATTCTTCATTGATGCTCGAGTCAAAGCCTCTTCAGGGCATTTGTTATATAATAAAACAAACTCTGCTTTTGTCTGACCTTCAGTTTTCTGCTTCTGGACAAGCTAGCTTGTTCCTCATGTGCATGTGTAAAAGGTCTATCCGTGGTACGTATCCAAGCCCAGAGGTATCTTATCTACCTTTGGCATATGTAGAGCTTGGCTCTAAGTAGATAAAGCAGAAAGAAGAAAGCAAAAGAGATCAGAGGAGGAAGAAGGAAGCAGCACGTTGCAGAGAGACACGTGGTGGCCGCCCGCCTTGTGCCCGCGGCAGGGAGGACGTCCCCGAGCTCTCGTGCCCGTTGCGCCCTGCAGGCACCGCTGCCCACGCAGGGCTGGGTCACGGAGGGGACCCGCGTGTCCCCACGGAGCAGGGAAGCCGCGGGGAGCGAGGCGGGAGGCCGCCGCGCGCTGCGGCGCTGTGGAAAAAGTGACAGCAGGAGAGGAAATGAAAAGCAGACGCCGAGCGCTGCGAGCGGCTCCGCCAAGGCGTTCCGCGCGGTCCCGAGTTTTCCCTGGAATCCAATCTGGACGTGCGGCAGTTTCGCTCCCTTCCCCGTTACCCCTGGGAGCCTGGCACGTGGCTCCTGCGCCCTGAAGAGGCTGCGCCAGTGCCAACCGGGAGGCCCCATGTCCCTGTCCTGCTTCCTACCATGGTCACTCCGTGGCATCTTCTGCCACTCGCGGGTGCCGTCAGCGTGTCCGGGTGCCTGATCCTCGGGGTGGAGCATTTCCGAGGGGGCTCTGATGTGTTTTTGGAGCCTTGCGTGGGTTCGCTTGACCGGGCTGTCCTGCTCTCGGCAGGATGGAGGCGTCGTGCCTGGAGCTGGCCCTGGAAGGAGAGCGCCTGTGCAAGGCTGGCGACTTCAAAGGCGGCGTGGCCTTCTTCGAAGCAGCCGTGCAGGTGGGCACCGAGGACCTGAAGACTCTCAGTGCCATCTACAGCCAGCTGGGCAATGCCTATTTCTACCTAAAGGAGTATTCCAAAGCCCTGGAGTACCATAAACACGACCTTACCCTGGCTAGGTAAGTGTGTTGGTTACGGCTCATCTTAATTGCACACACGAGCTCTTGAACAGCCCTTCTTCCTCTGGTCCCCTTGCAGAACCATTGGGGACCGCATCGGAGAAGCAAAGGCGAGCGGCAACCTCGGGAACACGCTGAAAATACTCGGGCAGTTTGATGAAGCTGTCGTCTGTTGCCAGAGACACTTGGACATTTCCCAGGAGCAGGGAGACAAGGTAATCTGTTCCTGGCAGCCCACAGGAAATATTTCCTGTCTTTAAGAATGATCCGCTCGCGAGCCAGCGCATGTGACACGGTGGAAAGTGGCTCTGGAAGGAGATGCGGTGTGACACTCCTCTCTGGCTGCATTGCAGCTCTGACAGTGGCAGCTGATGTGACACTGGAGGTGGGGAGGGAAACTGTGGGTCTCCCGGCTTAGCTGAGCATCTCTGCGGAGCATCGGAAGGGTCCGTACTGCGATACCAAGTGTAACCCCTTGTGGCTCCCTGTTTTCCTCCCTTTTAGGTAGGTGAAGCCAGAGCACTCTATAATATAGGCAATGTTTACCATGCAAAGGGAAAGCACTTATCTTGGAACATGGCCCCAGACCCAGGCTACCTGCCTCAAGAAGTCAAGGAGACGCTACAGAAAGCTTCAGAGTATTACGAGTAAGTATCCGAGCTCGGCCACCCCTTCCTGCTGCCGGGAGCAGGGCTGTTCGGGCACCCAGGACTGATAAAACACACGCAGGTACCTTGCTAGCAGCACATCCGTGTCCGTGGGGCTCCCATTTTGCAGGATCTGCAGATTGGATGCGCTCGGATAACTCTGAGGTGCAAGATGACGGTCTTAGTGAGTCCCATTGGAAGCTGTTTTCCCAGGAGGCGTTTCCCGGGCTGTTGAGGACATGCGATTTCTGCAAGATGCTTGTTGTGATGAAAGGGGCTGGCAGCAGCATCTTTAAGAATCAGGCCACTGGCTGGGCTGTCTCTGGGCTTCCACGTGTGTAAACCCCATAAATCTCTAAATCCTGCTTCTTTATTTCCCTGCCAGGTACAATGAACGTGTAAAACAACGCTGGAGTTCGGGGCGTATTTGTAGAAAACGGATAGGGCAGCTATAAGTCCCCTGCTCTGGAGCATAATATTTTGATAGATTAAGCTGGTGTGTTTGATTCTGCAGCCCGGGGAGGTTTCCATCCTGCATGCTGCGTTCCTGCTGCTGCAGCCCCCGGGACGTGGTGCAGCTTGCGAGCTTGCAGATGTGCATCGGGGGGCTGCGTTGGCTTAAATGACCAAGGGCTGAAACAGCAAAATGCCCCACGGCGCTTCCCGAGGCTGCGCCAAGTGGAACTGCGGGTGGAGGGTTAGCAGGGGAGGAGGCTCTGTCTGAGAGATGCATTCCAACCTCAGGATTTTGTACCCATTAAACTGGGTGATAGATGAAAGTGAAGATTAGGTTTTGCTGTTACTCTTCCATGGTACAGACGAAGCGCTGGGGAGCTTTTAACAGGAAGCACCTGGCACGTTTCTGTACTTGGTTTCTGATTTTCCCTTTCTGAATAAGAATGAAGGGGGAAACCGCTGTGGGTGGCACCAGCTGGGTCTGGCTCTGCAGCTGAGCTGAGACTCAGACCCAGGTGCTCTGCAGGCCCTGGCTCACAGGCACAGGGCAGTTGGATGCTGTAAAATTTTATTCTTTGCAAAGGCAAAGCTGGGCCTCGGTTTTGTCTCGGAGGCCAAAGCTGGACGCTGCTGCCTATTCTCGCCTTCTTGTTTTCTCAAGAACAATGTTTTGCATGTTGCAATGAATAGGGAATATTCCCTGGAGGGAACCAGGTGCGACAGCAAATTCTATTCGAGGAAGGTGAGAAAGGAACTGCAAGCTTCTGAAAATCAGAGCTAAAATTCCCCTGGTGGATCTTGATAAGGTTCTGTGTAGACTGAAGCATGATCTATGCAATTAAGGCCACGAGTCTGCTCCTGCTTGGAGCTGTTTTTGGAAGGAGGGCTCTGGGCTCGTGCAGCCCCTGCTGCTCCCTGCTGGCTCTGCTGGGAATGGACCCAGGGCGTGAGGCTTTCCCTCCAGGTCCTGCTCATCCCCGGGATGGATCTGTGGTTTGTCCTGCTGCAACATCCTTCTCCTCCCTAAATGTCTCCAAAGTTTATGCCGATTCCCCACCCAGGAAGGCTTCCGCCAGGCTTAACTTTGGTGCTAACATCTTTCTCCTTCTACTGAAGGGTTTTGCTGCATGAATGGGTTGTTTTTAATAGCCTGTGAGCTGACGTGCTGCTCTGCTTGATTTCAGGAGGAACCTGTCCCTGGTGAAGGAGCTGGGGGACAGAGCAGCCCAGGGCCGTGCGTACGGCAACCTCGGCAATACCCAGTACCTGCTTGGCAACTTCAGCGAGGCCATAGCCTTCCACAAGGAGGTAGGAGCTGGCCGGGGCTGGAGGAAACAGCCTTTCTTCCCAGTGTGTCCCAGGGAATGCAGGGAGCTGCTGGCTTCACTCCTTGGGGTACATCAGGGTCTGGCCTGGAAATGCAAGGGAGGCTCCCAAGGGCCAGTTTGCAGCTGGACTTAGCAAGGCTCTTCCGCTCTTAATTTGTGTCAGTGTAAATTTTAATAAATGCAAACTGTGAATTTAATTAAGCTGCTGAAAGAGCTGCCAAGCAGAAATAAATGTTGCTTGCGGAACATAACAAGCTTCTATAAAGCTGTGCGGAGGGGTGAGGTGACAGCATCCCTGCCCGCGTGCGCACGCGGCTCAGTTTGCAGTTCGGAGGCCGCCCAGGCCCTGCTCGGGGGAGTGCTGAGCCCCTTGGAAAGCCCAGGCCCTTCCATCCTGCTGATTTGAAACGTGGAAGATGCGGGGAGCGGCTGCGGTGCAGACGGGGGGATGACACGTGCACGGTGCCACGGCGCTGTGCAATGTGCCCAGTGTGTTCCTGGGTGTCACAGTCCATCAGCCTCATCCCTTTGCTCCCTGTCCTGAAGTTCCCTGTGCTGCCGTCTGCTCTGCTTGGAAGTAGGTGCCCCGTTCCTCCAAAAAAAAGCCTTAAAACTGAGCAGCTGTGCGCTGAGCACCCGAGTGGGGGGCAAAGGAGGATGTGGTGCTACTTCCCTTCTCCCAAAGGTCCTTCCTGATGCTGAATTGCCAAAGGGGAGAGATTTCCTATGGCATCCAGCCCTGAGGCACGTTTACCACTGCCTTCCTGGATGAGAGTTTTGCAAACGAGATTAGTTGTCTGGAAAACTTTGAGAGAAAGTTTGGAGATCTTCCAAACCGGCTTGGATGTGACCCTGTGCCCTGGGTGTCCCTGCTGGACTAGATGATCTCCGGAGGTCCCTTCCAACCTCAATCGCCCTGTGATTCCGTGTAAAGCTGCCCGTGGCCAGCCCGTGCTCACGGACGTGTCCCTTGCAGCGCCTCGCTATTGCCAAGGAGTTTGGGGACAAGGCGGCGGAGCGGCGGGCGTACAGCAACCTGGGCAACGCGCACATCTTCCTCGGGAGGTTCGACATCTCCGCCGAGTACTACAAGTGAGTGCCCGCTGCCAGGGCAGCTCGGGGCGACGGGCCCCTCGCACGGGCGTCCTGCAATGACCCAGTCTTTGCTGCTTCCCTCCTCCGTGCAGGAAAACTCTCCAGCTCTCCAGACAACTCAAGGACCAAGCGGTAGAAGCCCAGGCTTGCTACAGTCTTGGGAACACGTACACGCTGCTTCAGGACTATGAGAGAGCAATCGACTACCACCTAAAACACCTGGTGATAGCACAGGAGCTGGGAGACAGGTAAGGGAGACCTCGGGGGATGCAGTCTGTGCTCCTCTGGTTTATCTTTCTCTGTAACTGGGGCTAAAGAACTTGTGTTCTCAGAAGGTGTTTAGAAATCTCAGAGCCTGGGCTTCAGCGCAATCATTTGTTTAAAAAAGCAACATGATTAAGACCTTTATCATGTCACTCAAGCCTTTTCTTTCCAGAGATCATGCCCTTAAAGCTGTGCCAGCGTGGGTTGGATTACATGCCTGGTGAGAAGCGCTTGAAGAGAACCGTTCTTTTCAGCACGTTTCCCTGCAGCTCCTGCTATTCTTTCCTGGTGGGACCCTCCAAAACTCCTCAGATTGACAAAAATTGCCAAGTCCTTCCAAACCACGGCAATAGGACGGTCATCTGCCTTGTCCTGGCCGCTCTGAGATAGCACTGGAAGCTTCCACCTTGAAATGAGCCGTGGTGAGGAGGCAGTGTGCTTTGCTTGGCCTCCTTCCTTCCTTCCTTAGGAGGCTTTTCCTCAGTCTTCCTGGGAGGTGGCTCCTTTCTCCGGGATGTTCTCCCTCCCATCCTGGCGTCTCCCTTAGGCCGCATCCTCCACTAGATGGAGCAGAGCCGCTGAACCGGGAGCTCCGCGGCGCTGCTGGTGCAATCCCACCCCGGGGTGAATCACGCTGTGGGGGTGCAGCCCTGTGGGCTCCTGCCTTCCCAGGAATGCGCCCCATGAGCAGCAGCCATGGAGCGGGGTGACGAGAAAAGCGCTCAGATGCTGACGGAGCCGCCCAGACCTCCCCACGCGCTTTATTTTTTTATCCCCACACATGGGCTCGCTTGCAGTGCGCTTGACTCGCTGCTCTGGGGATGCCCGGGATGCCCGGGACAGGGTCTTGCGTTTGCAGCTTGCTCTAGTTTTGGGGCACGGGGCTGCACCCCGAGAGCCTCGTGGGAATGGGGAGGTGTTTGCTCAGCCCTGGTGCTTGCAGGAGTGCTGCAAACCTGCCGCGTTTTCCTCCTTGCTGGCTCTGGGTGCTGGTGAGCGGCCGGGCTGGCTGCTGCGTGCCCTGTTGTTGGGGGCCCTGCGAGTGTGACCATGATGTGTCCGTTCTCCTCCCAGGACCCCAGTGGAGGGTGCTCAGCATCTGGCCCTGCTGAGAGGCTCTTGTTGAACGGCTTCTGCTGAGCAGGGGTGTCCCTGGGCTTGTTTTCCACCCTGTACCCCCAGGGTGAGGTGAGGGCTTCAAGGGCAGAGGCAGGTTCAAGCTGGGAAGATGCTCTGCACGGGTTGGAGAATCTTTGCTGTGCAAGGTGGGAGCTGGGGGAGGTCATAAACTCATAGAATCACAGAATTGTCAAGGTTGGAAGGGACCTCTAGAGATCATCCAGTCCAACCCCCTGCACACGCAGGGTCACCTAGAGCACGTGGCACAGGACTGCGTCCAAGCGGGTTTGAAGATCTCCAGAGAAGGAGACTCCACAACCTCTCTGGGCAGCCTGTTCCAGGGCTCTGGCTCCCTCACTGTCAAGGAATTTCCTTAAGTTCCTGTGGAACTTTTGGCACTTCAGTTTTGGCCATTTTCTCTAGTCCTATTGGTGGCCACCAGTGAAAATGGGCCAGCACCATCCTCCTCGCTGCCTCCCTTGAGGTATTTGTAGACGTGGATCAGTCCCCTCGCACCCTTCTCTTCCTCTCTTCCCAGCTCTCTCAGCCTCAGTCCTGGCTCCTGCTCACAGATGAACCCAACCACCCGGGTCTCTGCCGGGCTGCTCGGCGCTGTGGGCACCGACCCGGTTTGCAGCATTGCTCAGGCCCTGCTCGTACCGGGCTCAGCAGAGCGAGAGCTCCAGATGTAACGTGTTTCCTTCCCTACGCAGGACCCTACGTAGGTGGGAGCTCTGCACTGGCTGCTCTCCATGGAAGGGCTGCTGTGCCCGGCATTTCCGCGGCTGACGGTTTCCTGTTTTGCAGGGTGGGAGAAGGAAGAGCCTGCTGGAGTCTGGGAAATGCCTACGTCTCCCTGGGGAGCCATGAGCAGGCCCTGCGCTTTGCAAGGAAACATCTCGAAATCTCCCAAGAGGTGAGAGAAACTGGTTCAGGTCAGAGGGAATTGGTCCACCAGACACTTCTGCTTGTGCCAATAAGCTACGGTCATGGGTTTTGTTCCCCACGCAGGTGTGGGGGGTCTCAGATACCTGCTGGTGTCCAGCCCTGTAGCAAGGTCCCCTCCCTGCAAACGAGGCAGAGGGATCCAGGCTGTGATGAGCCCTGCGGCTCTGCCTCTGCTGCAACACGGTTTGCTGCAAAAACCTGCAGCAAAGACCTGCAAAAAGCAACGCCGGCCTCTGCCCCTGGAGCAGCTGCTGTGACACTGAGTGCAGAGGTGACACTGTCCCAAGTGTCACCAAGCATGCAGGCTGCTGCTGGTGACGGTGCCAGGGCACCCTTTGGGCTCTGCTGCAGCTGCACCGACTTTCAGCTATGCCCCCAGATAACTGCAGCTTTCCTGGTACAAAAAAATGAGGCGCTTTCTGGCTTAGCCAAAAGCCAGAGCAGTGTTTGCTCTTTCCTTTGTGCTACGAGGAAATCGGCCTTGGCCTCTTTAGCGTTCCCCAGATGAAGAAATTGCCCTTTAGAAGAGCTAATTGAAATCATCGCATGCGAGTGCTTTGTGTGTTCCTCTGCCTGCCTATTGGACTGGCTGGATCCTGGAGTAGGACTGACACACCAGCCTAATTATGCACTTAATTATACTTATCAGACATGCAGAAGAAACGCTGTTCTTTGGCCCTGTACATTTGAGGACAAATTAACTTCTGCAGCTGAAGCCTTCCAGGAGCGCCGTGGCGGGGGGCCCGTTGCTCAGAGGCAGGTGGCTGCGAAGGGAGGTGACACGGGATGGGCCCTGGTGGCTTTTAGGGTGCAGGGGAAGCCGTGGGGGCCCCCCATGCTGCTCCACTCCTGGGGTGATGCCTCTGATCACAGGCTATGTCAGGAGCAGCTTTCTGGCTATAATAAACTCCTCCACGCTGTTAAGTTTGGAGCAGTAGAGCAGAGGCTGCAGCCGTTTGGGAGCACCCGTGTTAGCATCTTTATGAAGGCGATGGGTTATTTTAGCCTTGAACCAGGTCAGCCGCCTGTTGCTGTTGTGGTTTGGTCCTTCCCAGGCAGTGCAGAGCGTTTTATGCAGGGAAACGTGAAGAAGCTGAACGTTTGCACGCTGGTCTCTGCACCTCTCCCATCGCCCTCTCCTACCAACGTAAATCTGATGGTGACACTCGAGTCTGAGATGAAATCCGTCGGCATTGACAACACCAGGAGCTGCTGCAGATGCGAGCAGGGCTAACTGCAGGATTTCTCCTGAAACAGCTGGCTTAACGAATGTAGACCTTAAAAAATAAAATCTGCAGCTGGCCCCAGCTGCTGGATGTGCCTTTCCCACCTTGGCATGTGGCTGGGTGCTTTTGGGCACAGAGATGACCAAGCTGAAGGCAGAAAACCTCAGGCTGTGCTCGGCAGGAGCCCTCGTCATTCCCTTGCCCTTGTGTCCTGGTGTTAATGGGGCCTTAATGATAATCTGGTGTGAGTGGAAATCAGGGAAGCCTTTAACAGAGCACGGCAAGTGCTACAAGACCCAAGCAGGACACAGTAATTTCTCTGGAGATGGTGTCAAGAGCAAATCTCTTGCAATTGGCAGGGGATTTGCAGCTGATAAGCTGTTTGATCCGGCTTTCTTTAGTGGTGCTTGGGGCTTTCTCATGAAGAACGTGAGGATTTACGGTTTTGTTCTAGGGTGGCTCCTGCTATCTCAAAGGAGCACAAGGAGCTGGGGCAAGGCACTTAATGTGGAGCCAAGCGGCTCCGCGACCAGCCACGGTCT